TATATTCGATTGGGGGCCACGTCAGATGAAAGAGAGTGCATGATCCGTTGCTCATACTGCCAGCTGCCTCCGTACACTGCATGAGGGTACGCCACTACCCTCTGTGCACTACTAAAAATAAAAATTAAAGGAAAAGATTCCGTTATCCCCCAACGAAACGAGAGATATCGCATAAGGTGGTGTGCTTATTAAGAGAGGAGCAGAAAGTAAGAGACTTACTGTGTGATATGATGGAGGTGTGTAAGGGTATGAATGACCTCGACAAAGTTGTTCTTAGGGAGGTTAACGGCAGCTCCGCCGAGGTAGCAACGCCGGCCATTTCTCTCCGATTCATCTTTAATTTATTTCTCTCCGATTCAATATTTTCTGACGTTCTTTTCATCTTTTGGTTTGTTGATGACTGGATTGGACAAAGTGATGATTGTGGTTTATGTGTTATACAATATGTTTATATATGGACAGATAGAAAAACTGATCGAAATTGGAATGTAAACTTAAATATATAAATGCCTAGCTAATAATGTCGATTAAGTAAAATCATGTGATGCATATATGGATAAACAAATTGAATAAAATGTGGAGATGGAAAGGAGTGTTAATTTGAAATGTGACTTGAAACTTATTTATTTCACTGCATCTGCATGCTTAGCTTCCATTCCATTTTGGAGTAAAATTAGTGAGTCCAATGTCATATCCCACACTAACCATTATATTGCTTAATTAGGCACTATCCTATCAGGAGGAGTTAAAGTGTTTTTGGAATAAGGTTCTAGAAGCAAAGCAAAGGAGGCTTGCTTTAATTTTATGTGAAAATTAATTAGATGAGGTCCGATTGATCCTTTAATTTAAGTGTTTAATATATGTCCCTTAGCATAACTTAGATGGAGAGACATACATTCTTATATCCAATCCTCTGGTTCTTTTGTATTTGTATTATTTTATTAAACTTCATACTCAACTTTATATTGCTAGCTAGGTTAGGTTGAATACAATATTTTGTAATTCCGATCCATTATTTTCTATATATACATCATTAACAAACTTCATATATAGTTAACTTTATGTTCACTGGATCCCAAATTAAATTAAGTTGCCACTTGGAGGTAGACTTTAATTTTGTCCTTTTATTGCACCGTCACTAATTTTGTTTAAACTTTATCATGTGTCGTATTTCCTCTTTTTTACTACTTTGGCGGAATATAATAATTTTGTATGAGGCCGGAATTTCTCAAATAAGTTATGTGAATATTCAAAGAGTTGCTCCCTTAAATTAGCCTTTCATTAAGTCTCTAAGTGTATCTTGGAGCTAGGCTTTACTCTCTCTCTATATATATATAGTGTATAGTTTTGACATTATTATTTTCCCTTTATTCCTTTACCTTTCCATATTCTCCTTATAAAAATTTTCCAATTTGATCAGATCAATTTGATTCATTCCTTTGACAGCTTCAGTATATTGATTGATAGAATTGTTTTACTTATTGCTTCAAACTGTTTGAATAATTCGCGATCCTTCTTTTCTTCTCTTCTCTTATACATATTACAAACTTATTTTAGAAACAATTACATTTGTCTGATCTGCTTTTAATATAGTTTTGGTATTGTCTTTTGTAGCTGCTCTGCTGGCTGCTGCAATTTATGTTGCGAAGCTAAGGGAATACAATTGCAATCTATTGTTTTACATTTCCCTTAATATCACATTTTCTCTACAACTTGGATTTGAGTACTCAAGACTGAAATAATATTTTGGTGTTATAGATCTTTCGAAGAACAATTCTATGCATATTCTGAATTTTGTTATCTTTCTATACTTTCGATGATCATATCAATTCTATACATATTCTGAACATTTACCAGAAAATACTTCATTTGCCATATATGTTCTGCATTAGTTCATGTGTTCCGTATGGAATGTTTTTATTTGATTGGTGATATTATATTTAGGTGCCATTTGGTTAATATTATATTATTATTATAATATCGCTATTGGAGTGGAGTATTATATGATTTTTTTAAGGTTCATATATAGAAATGATTTTTAAATTTATATTTAGTTGCAAATATTTATATTTTTTGACAATACTAGTTTCTTATTTTATTTTATTTTATTTTTTTTTTGTCTAGTTTTAACTATTGGATGCACTGATTTTTTTGATTTTGTTTTTTGGTGACTGAAAGAAACTTATAGAGTCATTATTTGAGGAAAGGAAAGAATGAAAAAAAAAAATTCTTTAAAAGTTTCATTGATCTCTATTTTACATTGCTATTAATATCTTGGTGTTATCTTTCGAGGATCAATTCTATAGATATTCTGAATTCTGTTATCTTTCTATACTTTCGAGGATCATATCAATTCTATAGATATTCTGAACATATACCACAAAATACTTCATTTGCCATATATGTTTTGCATTAGTTCATGTGTTCCGTATGGAATGTTTTTATTACAGTGGCGATATTATATTTGGGTGCCATTTGGTTAATATAATATTACATAATATCGCTATTGGAGTATTATATGATTTTTTAAGGTTCATATATAGAAATGATTTTAAATTTATATTTAGTTGCAAATATTTATATTTTTTAACACTAGAATCATGCTCGAAAAGTTTCCTACTCGGTACTATTTGTGGTCTAAACATTCTAAAAAATTTGTTGAGCAACGCGTGTATCATTACTGTACGTAGTCATGTCATCCAGGGCAATTCATAGTGAAATTTGCCCCTCCATGAATGTATATGACATATAAGACATGTCCAATCTTGCCCATCTATATCACTAATTAGTAAATTTGGGGTGTGGTTGAGTGGAAGGAACTCATTCATCCTTTTTTTTTTTTTCTTATATTTTTCCTCTTCCCTACTCATTCTCTTTCACACCAAAAAACCTAGACTCATCATGTGGTTGCTCTTAAGCGGTTAACTAATTCAAAAATTGATATACCATGGCCAAGGGTCCAAGGTAAACCTTTAATTTATTTAAAACTGATGTGTCTACTGTTAATATAATATGTGCTTTCAGTTAATAAATTACTCTGTAAATAATGAATTGAAGACACATAAGAGTAAATTACACTTTTGGTCCTGCGACTATTGTGGTTTTATTAATTTCAATCCACGACTTTAAAAACTAATAATTTAGTACCCTAATTATTCAATTTGTATCAATTTTGGTCCATTTGGTCAAATTGCCAGAAAATACAAGAAAATACTTCATTTGCCATATATGTTCTGCCATGCATTAGTTCATGTGTTCCGATCTGTATGGAATGTTTTTATTTGAGTGGTGATATATTATATTTAGGTGCCATTTGGTTAATATTATATTACATAATATCGCTATTGAAGTATTATATGATTTTTTTTAAGGTTCATATATAGAAATGATTTTTAAATTTATATTTAGTTGCAAATATTTATATTTTTTGACACAACAAGTTTCGTTTTTTTGTCCTAGCTTTACTATTGGATACACTGATTTTTTATTTTTTTTTTGGCGACGAAAGAAACTTATAGAGTCATTATTTGAGGAAAGGAAAAAATGAAAAAAAAATTTCTTTAAAAGTTTCACTGATCTCTATTTTACATTTTCTTTACAACATGGATTTGAGTACTCAAGACTGAAATAATATTTTGGTGTTATCGATCTTTCGAAGATCAATTCTATACATATTCTGAATTCTGTTATCCTTCTATACTTTCGAGGATCATATCGATTCTATTCATATTCTGAACATTTACCAGAAAATACTTCATTTGCCATATATGTTCTGCATTAGTTCATGTGTTCCGTATGGAATGTTTTTATTTGATTGGTGATATTATATTTAGGTGCCATTTGGTTAATATTATATTATTATTATAATATCGCTATTGGAGTGGAGTATTATATGTTTTTTTTAAGGTTCATATATAGAAATGATTTTTAAATTTATATTTAGTTGCAAATATTTATATTTTTTGACAATACTAGTTTCTTTTTTTTTTCTTTTTTTTTTTGTCTAGTTTTAACTGTTGGATGCACTGATTTTTTTGATTTTGTTTTTTGGTGACTGAAAGAAACTTATAGAGTCATTATTTGAGGAAAGAAAAGAATGAAAAAAAAAATTTTTAAAAGTTTCATTAATCTCTATTTTACATTGCTATTAATATCTTGGTGTTATCTTTCGAGGATCAATTCTATAGATATTCGGAATTCTGTTATCTTTCTATACTTTCGAGGATCATATCAATTCTATAGATATTCTGAACATATACCACAAAATACTTCATTTGCCATATATGTTCTGCATTAGTTCATGTGTTCCGTATGGAATGTTTTTATTACAGTGGTGATATTATATTTAGGTGCCATTTGGTTAATATTATATTACATAATATCGCTATTGGAGTATTATATGATTTTTTAAGGTTCATATATAAAAATGATTTTAAATTTATATTTAGTTGTAAATATTTATATTTTTTAACACTAGAATCATGCTCGAAAAGTTTCCTACTCGTTACGGTACTATTTGTGGTCTAAACATTCTAAAAAATTTGTTGAGCAACGCGTGTATCATTACTGTACGTAGTCATGTCATCCAGGGCAATTCACAGTGAAATTTGCCCCTCCATGAATGTATATGACATATAAGACATGTCCAATCTTGCCCATCTATATCACTAATTAGTAAATTTGGAGTGTGGTTGAGTGGAAGGAACTTATTCATCATTTTTTTTTTCTTATATTTTTCAACTTCCCTGCTCATTCTCTTTCACACCAAAAAAACCTAGACTCATCATGTGGTTGCTCTTAAGCGGTTAACTAATTCAAAAATTGATATACCATGGCCAAGGGTCCAAGGTAAACCTTTATTTAAAACTGATGTGTCTACTGTTAATATAATATGTGCTTTCAGTTAATAAATTACTCTGTAAATAATGAATTCAAGACACATAAGAGTAAATTACACTTTTGGTCCTGCGACTATTGTGGTGTTATTAATTTCAATCCACGACTTTAAAAACTAACAATTTAGTACCCTAACTATTCAATTTGTATCAATTTTGGTCCATTTGGTCAAATTGCCAGAAAATACCAGAAAATACTTCATTTGCCATATATGTTCTGCAATGCATTAGTTCATGTGTTCGGATCTGTATGGAATGTTTTTATTAGAGTGGTGATATATTATATTTAGGTGCCATTTGGTTAATATTATATTACATAATATCGCTATTGGAGTATTATATGATTCTTTTTTAAGGTTCATATATAGAAATGATTTTTAAATTTATATTTAGTTGCAAATATTTATATTTTTTGACACTACTAGTTTCGTTTTTTTGTCCTAGCTTTAACTATTGGATACACTGATTTTTTATTTATTTTTTTGGCGACGAAAAGAAACTTATAGAGTCATTATTTGAGGAAAGGAAAAAATGAAAAAAAAAATTTCTTTAAAAGTTTCATTGATCTCTATTTTACATTGCTATTAATATCTCCTCACAAAATCATTCGGCTACTCAACAATGGGTAGAATCTTAATTTGTTCGAAAATCCCCTAAATCATTGCATTGTTTTGATAAGTTGCTGAATGGGAAGCTGATTACTGAACAATGCGATGCTGCTATTAAAATTGAAGGAGAAGTAAGGATTTTAGGAATTTTCATTGTGTCAAGTATTGTATTTGCTGCCTTTACCATGTCTCTCATTTGGAACACAATTTTACATAGGTGGAATTTACATATTTTCTGCTCTCTTATATTGCTTCACCATTAATGGGAATTGAGCAATTTGATCCCCCTGTTTCTGGGCATCAATTTGTTTTGAAGATTAATCTTCCAAAATTTAACATGTTCCAGGAATCCACCGCCTACGGGGTGGCATGAACTTCCGCGCACAAATATGGTCCTATTTTATCACTCTTTACAACTTGAGGTCAGATATTTTTTTTAATGGGTGGGAGAGTGATACACAAAAAGAAATAAATAATTGGTCGCTCAATTAGGTGGAAGTCTAAAATGAAATAATCAATTTGGAGGTAATATTAGATGAGAATTGATCACATATTAGTAGAAGGAAATTATGTATATTAGAATAAAGATCATTACCTTGTATAGTTAATTATTTATAATATTAGTAGCATAATTATTATTGTGTGTTAGTAATATACTATCAATAGATCCATTGTATATGAATATTAAGGCGTGTATTTCATGAACGCGTGTATCATTATTGTACGTTAGTCATGTCATCTGGGCAATTCACGGTGAAATTTGCCCCTCCATGAATGTATATGACATATAAGACATGTCCAATCTTGCCATCTATATTAATTAGTAAAATTTGGGGTGTGGTTGAGTGGAAGGAACTCTTTCATCTTTTTTTTTTTTCTTATATTTTTCCTCTTCCCTACTCATTCTCTTTCACACCAAAAAACCTAGACTCATCATGTGGTTGCTCTTAAGCAGTTAACTAATTCAACAATTGATATACCATGGCCAAGGATCCAAGCTAAGGTAAACCTTTATTTCAAACTGATGTGTCTACTGTTAATTAATATGTGCTTTCAGTTAATAATTACTCTGTAAATAATGAATTAAAGACGCATATTATATTAACTGCATGCACATAATGTGTAGTTAACATATTATGTGCCTACAATTAACCTATGTATTTATGTAGTTAACATATTATGTGTATATAATTATAAAACTATGTGTCTTCAATTAATTTACTGATTAGATACATAATTCGTTATATGTTAATTAGGAACAAATATGAATGTCATTTTAAATAAGGGTTCACAATGCAAAGTGGACTAGTCGGATTTGCCCTATCTTTGCCCCATTAAATTCAAAGAGTTAAATAGTTATAGTTTTCTTTTGCCATAGAATAT